TTTGATATTAATTTATTCGTGGATATAATTACACTTATTCGATATTTTAATACTTACTGACGATAGATTAGAACAAACATCAGTGTTTGGAGTATCGGGCAAATATATACCGGGCAATGGCACTTGACTTTAAAAAGAACATCAGTGTAGGGTATACCGGGCAGTGTCACTTGACCTTAAAAAAACATCAGTGTAGGGTATACCGGGCAAATGTGTCCCGGGCAATGGCACTGAACCTTAAAAAAGCATCAGTGTATGATATACCTGGCAAATGTGTCCCGGGCAATGGCACTTAACCAGACCTAGCATGACTAGACCTTTGGTAAATGTCTGAAACTTGGCGAATATACTAGCTCTACTACCACTTTTGCTATAGCTTAAATATTAAAAAAAAAATTAAACAAAGCGTTTGAATCAATTTTAAACCGATAACGAAATTATTGCCTTAAAATTAAAAAAATAATAATAAAAACTGAAACAGATAAGAGTAATTGAAGTAGTTGCTTTATACAGCGCATGTGCGGAAAAAAGTTTTTAAAAAATTTATCCACGTGCATCTAAAAGTGGATGAATATCCCAAGACACCTATAAAATAATCTATGTAGGTGTCAAAACATATTAACAATGAACCCAAGAATTAACCCGACAAAAGTGTGCACTTTATCCTACGATGAAATTAGCTTATTATTAATATTTTTATTTTTGTATTTGGTTGAAAAATATAAGAAAATCAAATACATTAAAAAATAATGAAGAAACACAAGTTATCCTTATATGGATAAATAAAAAGAGAATTGAAGTTTAAAAAAAGTGCTTTTTTTATGCTTATTTAACCCTTATAATGTTAACGTAATCATCTCTTCACTTTTTAACACCATGCCACATGTCTTAAAAATAACTAATTCATAGAATCATGCCAAATTCCCGTCACAGAATCCTCCGGAACATCAAAAATCAAACTGGAACCAAAAGTTTGTCCAACTAATCGAATTTGGTGAAAGCGTGCTTACATAGTCACTCTCTCTCTCTCTCTCTCTCTCATAATATGCGATAGCAATTATTAGAAAAACATTGGAGAAATGATAGATGATTCTTAAGTCCGTTCATTGTCCAGAAGTCTGTGATGCGTGTGGGTCAATGGAGTGTGCCAATTCAGCCAAGAATAAACTCGACAAAGGAGTACACTTAATAATCACACATTTCAATGAGCTTCTTATTAATATTTTTAAAATTGATATTTATTAATACAAAACAAGTTGAAAGCAACAAAAAAACTAAATATATTAAAAAATTATAAACAAATACAAATTAATTTTATATCGATAAATAAAAAGAGAATCAAAAGGAAAAATAAATATGCTTATTTTATGAGGGTTTTTTTTAAAACAATTATAACATGAAGTGGAAGTAATCATCTCTTCAGTTTAAAACATTATGCCACGTGCCTTAAAAATCACTAATTCATAGAATCATTCCAAATTCACGTCACAGAATCCTTTGGACCATCAAAAAATCAAACTGAAACCAAAAGTTTGTCCAACTGATCGAATTTGGTGAAGGCGTGCATACATAGTCACTCTCTCTCTCTTAATATGTGAGAGCAATTAAAAAATCATTGGAGAAATGATAGACGATTCTTAAGTCCACTCATTGTCCAGAAGTCTGTGATGCGTGTGAGCCTATGGAGCTTGCACGCTCAGTTGAACATGAAGCGGTGAGATCGCGTGAGAAACTGTTGGCAGCTCTTCTATGATATATGAAGAGCACAACATATATAGAGCTCCATATAGCGCTTTATAACATGACTCTTGATTAGAGGATAGGATAATAGGATAGTGTTACATTTAGACATGTTTATAATCTACAATGAAGAAATGTAACACTGTATTGATTTTGAATGATTCATCGCAATGTATAATGTGACTGATGAAATGAAAAGAAGAGCTGGTTAAAATTTTGTATCAATTGATAATGATATAAATATTTTTTTAGTTTCAACTGGGAATGAATCCTCGTCAGATCACACACTGTTCTTTTTTCAGCTTTAGTCTATTTTTCAATTTCTACTATTAGTTCACACTCTCCCTATATATATTTATTTATATGTCTTATTCAAATTTTTAATCGTTAATAAAATACTTTTTATTCAACCACTCAAGTTCAAATACATTTTTTTTAAACTTGTGGTGGATGACACTTGATAATAATACAGTTTTTTTTTTCAAATATTAATTCATTAATATTTGAACAAATTCATTAATTAATTTTAGTTTTATATGGCAGAAAAAATTTGCTCTTATGTAAGACATTTATCAGGATATTAATTTAAGAATAAATACAGCCATTACTTAGTCTAACACCACAGGAAAAAGGAAAATTGCAAGGAAATTTGCTTTCTATTTTGCCACTTAATATTGTGATTCTATCATATGTATATATGTCATATAAGGTGATTGGATGGAAATCTTCTCTTCCAAGAAGATTTAGTGATAAAATGGATACTTCTACATTATATGAAACTGAAAAACTTTTCCAAGTTGAATCTGAAATGAAAAGATATAAAATTGAAATTCTTGGCATTAGTGAAACTAGGTGGAATACAAGCAGAGAGATCCAACTTAAAAATGGAAAGTCTATTATTTTCTCTGGAAATGTAAAAGAATATGACATCCACAGTAATGATAGTGGCAGTCTTGCTCTCCAAAACAGTTAAAAAGTCTTTGATGAAGTAGGATCCAGTATCCATAAATGTCATGTTCAATGTCTAATTTTTTAAACAAAACAAAAATGCTCAATTAATATTTATTGTTTTTAAAAGTAAATATCTTTGAGATAAAGAGAGTTAGAACGAACATTAGCTTTCAAATCTATAACAAACTTTAGGAAATTGCTTACAAAATATTTTTTTATTTCTATTTTTACTTATTTATTTATTTCACAATAGCTTGGTGATTTTTTTTCCCTATTAAATATTTTTCATCACCAAGGGAGTACCAATGAATACTAATCATATCACTTTTTAAAAAAATAACATTAAGTGCACTAATAAAAAGTAACACTTTTAAAAAGTGATGCTTAGGCTAACCTTATGAATAAACATTTCAAAATAAGTGCCACCACAGGGGCTTCACAATTAAAGAGTTGACATTACTGAGTTTTCAATATAAATTTGTTATGGTTTCTTTTGTTTCCCTTCATTTACAAAAATTCACTATCAACAAGTGCTACAAAAAATTAGGGCATTAAAATAAAACAGAAAAACTCTTAAAACCAAAATGACTGTTAGAATTCCCAAATATTTCTATGCAGGTGATTAACATTTGTTCGCTGTAGCGGTAAATCAGAAGTTAGTATCAGCATAATGTTATTTGTAAGCCAAATTGGATTTCATGAAAATTTTTCATTACAAGAAAAAGAAAAAATCATACATCATATTTTTTCTTGCAAAGGTCAGAATTCTTTGCTAACATATTTTCATGCTTACATTTGTTATTCTAAATAATCGTCTTCAAACTACTTAGCAATAGTTTTAAGGAATTAAATTTAGTAAATTAGTTGATTTTTGACTCATGGTTATATAATTATTGCGAAATCTAATAATATCTCTAAGATTATAGGAAATTTTTTCTCAAACGTTGCAATCTACTTGAACAAATTTCGAGATGTTGATTTTATTAAGGCATTATTTATGCATCCTCTAGCTATTTCTCGCAGTATAAAACTGTTGGAAATTTCAAGGAAAAAATGGTTAAAGAACAATTTATTATATTGTTATTTTACCATATTCAAACAAAACAGTCAAATAACAATGAAAGGATGGTATTTAAACTGTTAACTATGAGAAAAACCGTTTTGTTAGCGCATGTATATTGTAAATTAAGAATGGCAACAGCGGTCATGCTTAGTCCGAATAAAAGCGCAAATATATTGTAAATTAAAAATGGCAACAGCGGTTATGTTTAGTTTGTTTTGAGATTTAAAAATTTTTAGAACGTCAATATGAAATGTACGTGAATGTAATAAGTTACGAGAGCATTATATTGTCCATAAATGTTTGTTTTTATAAAGAATTTAGTATTGTTAAATAAAAAAAATGTAAATGCATAAGATGCCAACAGTTTATTAAGTACTTAACCTTGTGAGGATTTAATTTTTGACTGCGTCAACCTTCATCTATCAAAAGGTACCTCAAGATAGAATCGAGTTAACATGTCTTATATACTAGCGATTTGGTATTTAATATTTGTAGTGGTAGTTAGTTATGCCACAACCTCATACATTTAAACAACCAGAATTGTATCGCACCAACTAGGCACACCTAATGAAGACACTTAGTTCCTTGCTACTATTTACAAATTATAGCCTAGAAGGATAATCTCTCAATCTCATGACTGAGAGAATATGAGCTCGAGTTCCTGCGTTGTCAAAACAATATTTCCTTCATTCCCTTCAACGCATGACGAGTTTCCAGTGTCCTGCACTCTCCATATTGTACCCTGTATTATTAGATACGATATTAACAGTCCAGGTTGGCGCATAGACGGCTGCACCATAGAGCTGCATAACACATAAAAGTCTAGTATTTTCCATGTTTTACGATAGGTGAAGCAAATTATTTAAATGATACTCGGCTGTTCATTTGATAAAACACAACTAAACCAAAATGTAATTCAAATGCCTATTACAAAACGAAAAGCCTAGCTCCGGTGAAGAGTTAAATTTCTTTTTTTACTGTTTTAAAACCATGCTATTTGTAAATGATTAAAAAACCGTATAGTTTTATATTCATGGTTTTTTAATCATACTAGTTGTAAACGATTTTGAAACCGCAAAAGTAAAAAAAAAATTTTACCGTTAATTTTACGGGTAATTAGATGTACAGATTGCTGCCAGTTGTTCAAAATGAAAATTCTAACGATGCATGATGTCTTTTGATGCATAAATGTAGTTAAAATAACTATATATTTTCTTAACTTTTTTTTTCTTTTTGTATGTTCTAGGTGTCATCACATTATGCGGCAGCGTTGCCGCCTATCATGTAGTCGATCATCGATCTACGTTTATGTGACAGCTATAGCTCTCTTCACACTTTGCAACATCCTTGCTATGATATTTATATCCAGGACATCAAAAAAAGATAGTCTGATTTCAAATCTCATAATAAATGGTGAAGTAGCAGCACCTTCATACAAAGATGGTGTTTTACTTATTGGAAACCTTTTATCAAGTTTTCCTTTCAACTTCAACCAATCTTTTTCCAGAACGGACAGCAAACGTACTTACATAATCTATGATTCTGTCGTTACAGGCAATGCGTATGCCGGCTACAGTGAAACCGCATACGTAACACTGGCAACTCAAAGCTCTGTGGATAGACTGAATTTGTTAATGGAAATTGCCGATACATGGAAGGCTCCAATGTCCATAGCTGTGTTTGTTCCTGGAATAGACTTTTACATTGCAAAAGTTTATATTGCTTATTTAAGACTCTGCTCACAAGTAATCCGTACAAATGCAACCTTCCACTTTTTGTACCACCNTATTACTCAATATTAGTTCTAAGAAACCAGGCCTTGAGCTAACAAACCAGTATTTTGTTGGCGTCAGCGGGACGTTGACGTCACGCCGACGCCCAGATAAGGCGCTTGTCCTAAGAAACCAGACCTTTATTTGTAAGCCAAATTGGATTTCATGAAAATTTTTCATAACAAGAAAAAGAAAAAACCATACATCATATTTTTTCTTGCAAAGGTCAGAATTCTTAGCTAACATATTTTCATGCTTACATTTGTTATCCTAAATAATCGTCTTCAAACTATTTAGCAATAGTTTTAAAGAATTAAATTTAGTAAATTAGTTGATTTTTGACTCATGGTTATATATTTATTGCGAAATCTAATAATGTCTCTAAGATTATAGGAATTATTTTCTCAGACGTTGCAATCTACTTAAACAAATCTCGAGTTGCTGATTTTATTTTAAAGGCACTATTTATGTATCCCCTAGCATACAGCATAAAACTGTTGGAAATTTCAAGGAAAAAATGGTTAAAGAACTATATTGTTATTTTACCATATTCAAGCAAAACAGTCAAATAACTATGAAAGGATGGTATTTAAACTGTTAGCTATGAGAAAAACCGTTTTGTTAGCACATATGTATTGTAAATTAAGAATGGCAACAGCGGTTATGTTTAGTTCGAATGTAAGCGCGTATATATTGTAAATTAAAAATGGCAACAGCGGTTATGTTTAGTTTGTTTTGTGACTTAAAAATTTGCAGAACGTAAATATGAAATGTACGTCAATGTAGTAAGTTACCAGTGCTTTATATTATCCATAAATGTTTGTTTTTGCTTTTTATAAAAAATTTATTATTGTTAAATTAACTATATAAGATGCCAACAGTTTATTAAGTACTTTACCATGTGAGGATTTAATTTTTGACTGTGTCATCCTTCATCTATCAAAAGGTACCTCATGATCGAGTTAACATGTCTTATATACTAACGATTTGGTATTTAATATTTGTAGTGGTAGTTAGTTATGCCACAATCTCATACAGTTAAACAACCAGAATTGTATCGCACCAACTAGGCACACCTAATGAAGACACTTAATTCCTTGCTACTATGTACAAATTATAGCTGAGAAGGCTAATCTCTCAATCTCATGACTGACAGAATATGAGCTCGAGTTCCTGCGCTGTCAAAACAATATTTCCTTCATTCCCTACAACGCATGACGAGTTTCCAGTGACCTGCACTCTCCATATTGTACCCTGGATTGTTAGATACGATATTAATAGTCCAGGTTTGCGCATAGACGGCTGCACCATAGAGCTGCATAACAAAAAAAAGTCTAGTATTTTCCATCTTTTACGATAGGTGAAACAAATTATTTAAATGACACTCGGCGGTTCATTTGATAAAACACAACTCAACCGAAACGTAATTCGAATGCCTATTACAAAACGAAAAGCCTAGCTCCGGTGTCCAGTTAAATTTCTTATTTTTACTGTTTTAAAACCATGCTAGTTGTAAATGATTAAAAAACCGTATAGTTTTGTATTCATGGTTTTTTAATCATACTAGTTGTAAACGGTTTTGAAACCGCAAAAGTAAAAAAATTTCTACCGTAAACTTTACGGGTAATTGGATGTACAGATTGCTGCTAGTTGTTCAGAATGAAAAGTCTAACGGTGCATGATGCCTTTTGATGTATAAATGTAGTTAAAGCAACTATATTTTTCTTAACTTTTTTTCTTCTTTTTGTATGTTCTAGGTGTCATCACATTATGCGGCAGCGTTGCCGCCTATCATGTAGTCGATCATCGATCTACGTTTATGTGACAGCTATAGCTCTCTTCACACTTTGCAACATCCTTGCTATGATATTTATATCCAGGACATCAAAAAAAGATAGTCTGATTTCAAATCTCATAATAAATGGTGAAGTAGCAGCACCTTCATACAAAGATGGTGTTTTACTTATTGGAAACCTTTTATCAAGTTTTCCTTTCAACTTCAACCAATCGTTTTCCAGAACGGACAGCAAACGTACTTACATAATCTATGATTCTGTCGTTACAGGCAATGCGTATGCCGGCTACAGTGAAACCGCATACGTAACACTGGCAACTCAAAGCTCTGTGGATAGACTGAATTTGTTAATGGAAATTGCCGATACATGGAAGGCTCCAATGTCCATAGCTGTGTTTGTTCCTGGAATAGACTTTTACATTGCAAAAGTTTATATTGCTTATTTAAGACTCTGCTCACAAGTAATCCGTACAAATGCAACCTTCCACTTTTTGTACCACCGCGATATGGCTCCGGCCGAAAGTTACATATCTGGTCATGAATATGACCACCATTCTCTACCGACTTGTACTAGGAGCAGTGAAGCTTTACCTTTGTTGCTTCGATACAGAACTGGGAGTTTTAAACGGTGGTGGCAACAAGCTCTTCATCCACAAAATCACCTGAGGAACGTGGCGCGCAGAGGCGTGAGAACTCCGTTTCATTTCCTAACTGATATTGACATTATGCCAGTAGCGCATCTATCTGAACAGTTAGATGTCTTCCTTGAACAATCATTAAATGCCAAACCATGCCCAAAGTGTGTGTACGTTGTCCCGACGTACGAAATGCCTGAACGGTTGCCAGTGCCTCAAAACAAAGCTGAGCTTTTGGACAGAATTAGTAAAAAGCAGAGTAGGCCTTTCCATGCAAAAGTTTTTATTCATAACCAGTATGCTACCAACCATACGCTCTGGGAAAGATTACCCAGTACAAACCGTTTAAGAGCTGCATATAAAATAAGTAACTATGAATTTTTTTACGAACCTTTTTATGTTGCCCGAGCAAATGTGCCCCTTCACGATGAAAGATTCATAGGGTATGGTTTCACAAGAAATACTCAGGTAAGCTTAATTTTTTCAGTACTATCTCATCAAACACCATTTTTCATTGTCCTTAATAATAATCAGCTATTCGTATTTTTTTGCCAATAGTTCTGATAATTAAGTCATTTGAATCCACCCACTAAAAGAATTTCAAAATCGTATAAATAATCTTACAATAAATAATCTGCATTATTTGGGAAAAGTGTAGTTCAATTCTATGTTTTAAATTCGAACAAAAATTTATATCGGTACGTTATCTATAACACCTATTGGTCCAATGAGTCTTTCAAATACCAGCACTCGCAAATTACTAAATATTCATTAAATTTTGTGTTAACTTATTTACACAACTAGGAAACTCCTCTCACTAAATCCCGTGCTTTCTTCTCATTCATCATTGTTTCTTTCTTTTTTTCATGAAAAGATACCCAGTTTTAAAAAAGAATCAACAATATTTCCAAAAAACGTAGTTAAACTTAGGAATACTGAACGTGTGACACAATAAGCAGTAATTAATGAATAAGAAATAGTTTTGCTTGTTAACAACATATAACAATAACCACATAGGAATTCAAATTTAAAACAGTTTTTATTTCTTTTTGAGCCTTTTATGCAGTTAAAAATTTCTACAGAAAGCAGCATTTTATTTTTTACTCTCTTATTTTTTCATTGTATTTATACTTTTTTTTAATTACTTTTGACATCATTACAAGAGCGAGATTATAAGATGCAGATTGCGAGAGAGATAAATTTTTCTACAACAATTGATTAATAATTATTATTCAAAGTAAAGAAACGAAATGATAAGAGCTCGTGACAAAAAACACTTAAAATTGCATTAACTTTTGAACAAATTAGAGTTTCAAAAGAAATCTTAAAAATCGCTAAGTTTACAAGGGAAAATGGTGTTTTCAGCACACGAAACACGATTGTAAAATTGTTCACAAGGTATTTTTTACTTCAGTTAATAAATCATAAATTATTTATCAAAACTTTTTTTATTCCATCATTTTCCTTCTATGTTCTTCTACCATTTTTCGAAATTTATAGTTTATAATATAGCTTATATGTGTAACATAAAAGCTTCAATTAGTCTTTTTACATTATTCCTTTTCTGTAAATCTTTTTCTTAATTTATTATTCGAAACAAAACACTCTTTATCCCACTTTAATATTCACATCCTGTCTTTTAATCTATTTAAGTTATGCAATAATTAACAAAATAGAAATGAAAATATTAGAATTGCCTGATACCCGATTGTGGCTAATAAAACTACCAATTAAAATTTGGACACAAAAAGTACTTTAAAAAATATCCGAACTAAAAATTTTGCAAAACTAACCATCCGAAAAGGAAAAAAAACTTTGTAAATGTAAAACAAACCAAAGGTAATCTGAAACTTAACCGAACTTGCACTTCAAATTAAAAAATTTAAAAAATAGCTAGGTCAGTTGAATTTTAAATTTTAAAAACTGATTGACCTTATACCATACTAAGTTTGAAAGCTTGCATTGGATTTCAATTAGTGATTAATTATGTCAAAACAGGTTGTATTGCAAAATTGCAGAAAACTGATCACTTTTTTTTATTATAAAAGCAGCTTGTTTTTACATATTTCTCCAGAAATCCCGGTTAAAATTTGCAATAAAAATATCAATACTGAAAGTAAAGTTAAAAATAAAAATAAAGAATATATAAACAAAAGAAAGAGGAAATTAAAGAATGTTAAATCAAATAACAATAAACAAAATAATGAAAATATTCAAGAAAATGTTAAATTAAATAAAGTTTTGGACATAAAAAGAAGTAAAAACAAAAATTTTAAAAATGTAAACAAAGCAAAAGTTTTATAACGACCACAGTGCTGACGTAAAATGTCCTCAGTAGTAGTCGGATCATGGGCTAGAATTCCCTTCTCGTCGGGTTAACCATGAGGAGGTTTCCGTTGTTTACCTCACCTTGTAACGCAAATGCGTATTATTTCCAACAAAAAGTCCTCTACGAAGGCTTTAGCTTGTCGCAATGCTTGATCCAGGAGATCCCTTATCTTTTGGGTTTGATTCAAAATTACAATGCTACACTGATAGTCATAAACTCAGAATTGGTTTGGCTGTTTAACGCCAGTTATAAAATTGTATAAAATAATTTAACTACACGCGTTTTTTAAACAGACCACTAAAACATAAAAAAATTAATTAAAAATGCAATTTTAAAAAAATATATATTATAAATATTTATAATTATAATATATAATTATAATATATAATTATAATATNAAATATATTATAATTATATATTATAAATATTTTACTATAAATTTTGATATCTCTTAACTCTATAAGGGCCCTTTGACCTATAGTTTTAAATCCGTTCAATTTTTTCATGGGTTATTATGTGTTGTGTTAGTGTTCATTTTTATATAGAGATCCTTTGACCCTGCTGGACAGGGTCCTGTTGAGTAATTTTTTTTTAGCTGGCAATACGCACAATTAGTGAATATGTCAAACTGTTTTATGCTTTAATTGTTTTCATATACAATCTTACTCGCCTGACATATTCATGGGCTGTTGCCATGTATTTTATGTATGTTAGGTAATTTATGTATTGTAATGATTTTGAAATTTTAATAAACATTTACCCGTATGCCCTAAATTAGGACAGGTCGGTGTAAAATCTTCATATTAGAAATATTTAAGTAGTAAAAAATTTTACAATATAAGCTATTTTTGACATAATAAACTGTATTTAAATTTCAATCGATACGTTTAAGTGCAAAAATCCCAGAATCACGTGGAAAATATAATTAAATAAGGGGTTCATATATTCTCAAAGACTTTCATTTCAATTGAATTAACAACACGGCATCAGTTTTCCTGGAACATATAGGCATGACGAAATACAATAAAAGTTCATATTAGAATCATAAATATGAACTATTTAAAGCCATTTCTTGTGAAAGCGTCTCATCCAAATGCAGTTCTCTATTTTGTAACAATTGATGATCAGCAATAAAACATGAAATGTCCTCTCGTAAAAGTGTTGAGTAAAAAATCTTGTATGTCCCAGTGGAACTCGCAGGAAATAAAACATTTTATATGTCATGGAATAACAAGTAATTGCTTCTATTTGTAAAAAAAGGAAGGTCGAAGCCGATTTGTATCCCTGCAGTAGAACAAAAATCGATGCACTATTCCCATAGGAGACGTATCACGTGATAGTCACCATAAATAACAATGCTTTTTGCCTTAAAAAAATCCATGGCGTAATGTAATTCAATTTCGAAAATGTATATTATTATCTTTCATAAAAATAATAACATAATATTTCTTGTTTTTATGTATGAATGCATTTTTTATTTTTATGTGTGAATATATTACAAAAATAAATTTAGCACTAAATATTTTTAAACCCTTTCAAGAAAAAAATAACATGTAAAAGTATTTACAACTAAAATTTTACTTTTCGTTTATATCTTTTTATTCTATTAATAATACAACATATTACTTCGTGTATTCAATTATATGGTTTAATTTAACTGTTTCCTCTAAAGAAAATATGATTTTAAAAATATCGAAATTTTTTACTTATCAATAAGAACCATAAATAGAAGGAAAATCCATACACTATTTCCATAGAAGACATACCACATAGCATTTACCATAAACTACATTGCTTCGGTCTTAGAAAAAATGCATGACTTTGAAAAATGTATTACATTTAATTACAATAATGTCATAGTTTTTTTTTATTATACTTATAAATGTCTACATTACAAAAACGTAATTTAGTATGTACATTTTTAAAACCCTTTAAAGAAAACAGAACATGTAAAAGTATTGACAATTAAATTTTATTTTTCATGTTTTCCTTTTTTTTAAAATAATACAACACTTTATTCAGTGTACTCAATTATAATTTATAATGTTTATCTGCATTCTCAAAAGAATAAATGGAAAAATCGAATACTGTCGATTTATTGATAAAACGATAAAAAGATAAATACACTAACGTGATATCTTTACTCGGATTTTCATTAGAAATACCATTACTTTAGAGCAAAAACTAGGTTAAAAATCGACTTTTTATATTGATTAAATGTGCTTTAATTCTTTTGGTTGGTTTAAAGAAGAATAGAAAATTGTAATTAGTTGCAGTGTTTTGAAAACTTATGCGATCTTGTGTGAACTATCAGAAGTATATATTTAACAATCGTAACTAAAATCAGAACTATATATTCAACATACAACAATGATATATATAACATTAGAGTTATCGTGTAGAATATTATCATGTGTATTTAGTATACACTTTTGTTGCTGTTATACTGTTGATTTATGAAATATTTTATTTCAGTTAAAATAAAATAATATCTGTCTAGTTTATGCTATTTTAACTGCAAAACTTTACCATTATTCTGCAATTTTAAGGAAAAATATCAAACAGTTTTATATACAATAATAATAATAAAGATAAAATTCTTAAGATTGGAAACAAAACTTTATGATTATCTTCCAAGCTAAAAGCCTTAACAAATAAGAAATTAAGCAATAGTTTATGAATGTACTGATTTATTTTTAAATGATCTTTATCAATGTTTGAAATTGTAAAATATAAAATAGATTTTTTTTAATAAATTGCAAGTAGTTAAACGTGTTATACACATATTGAGAAATCACGGATAAAATTTTCAGAAATAATGTTATTTTTATTCATGGCAAATAACCATAAAGCCAAAATAAATGAAAACAAGGTTTGGTCCCTTTTTTAAATACTAGCAGTGATTCTACAGTTATTTATATTCTCAACACCGCAATCACTTCATTCCATTTTTTCAAATAATCAGATTAAAATTTAAATTCGTTTACTACTGAAGGAATGATTAAATTAAAGTGAAATCATTTATTTTATTGTAAATATGTAATATTAAACTAATTATTAATACTCTCTTAAATATTGACCTTCCTAACAAAAAAGAGAAAACTTTTAAGATTGATCTATTATAATTTAAAGGGTGAAGTAAAACTATTTGAACTTAAAAGCATGAGTGAAAAATTAAATATTTTTTTAAAAAATATAATTATAATTTCTTAAAGTGAATTACTCTTATTTGAAATTAGAAGCATGGATAAAAATTGAACTGTTTTTCACTGAATACTTAGACTATAATATCTCAAAGTGAACTCTTATTTTAGCTTAAACAGATTCAGTAGAACAGATCCAATAATTTTCATTCAAATACTGTTCAATACTGCTTACAAATTTTTAGTTAATCTAAATTTTTACTTGTTATTTATTTTCAAATTTTAAAAAAAATAACTAGTTCTGATAATAAATTTATAAAAAAAATTCTTTTTAGATAAAATCGACAGAAAAAAAAACTTTTTTAAACAATGCATTAGTAAACTTATACATAAGTTATCAATGATTTATTTAATTCAAAGTTATTGCTATTAGCTAAATCATTGCTATATCTGTCAAAAACTATTCATTCGACAAATTTAATAGTCTTTAACTCAGGCGAGAGCACTTTAATTATTTCCTCAACAATGCATTAGAATTTTTGACCTTTCATTGCCAAAATATATATATATTTACGAATAACTATCGTGATTTATTGTCGCTGAATATAATTTGTAATAAATTTCTACAATAAATGGTTGATTAATTCTTAATCTATGTCATTTTACCAGAACTATCGTATACTTCACATAATGTAATAAATAATTATTATTGAAAAGATTATTAATATTGATGCTCGTATGATTCACGTATGGCAAATCTTCAAACTAGGCGCCTGTTTTTTGGGCGTTTAAAATGTGTCGACTCTTATTTCCAATTTGTATATTTTTGAACTGAATGAAGTTTATATCAAAGTAAAAATAATTTGTATTAAATTAACGCGTTTATCAGTTGTTTTTCAAAAATTAGTTCCATTAAAAAACAACCTCGAACTAAAATGCTGCTCCAAGTTGTAACATTTCTTACTAGTACATATCTTTTATATACAAAATAATTACAACTTTTAAGTTAATCCGTCTTACACTTGATAATGATTGCAATAGTGAACCACATGGAAGAGCAAAATATACTTCTTCCCTAAACACGCTTAAGCGATATGAATTGTTTAAGTTTATGTGAATTACTCCACAGTAACTAATTCATTCATATTTTATGCATCATGTTCCTTCACCAAAGCCATAAATATATATTCCGAGAATACTTGATAAAAAGGTAGTAAAAATTAGACATACGAAGGAAGTTAATATTTAAAAAAGGAATAAATAACAACCAATATAGGAAAATCAGTTATGAGGAAAGGCACTGAACTAAGACACCAAAACCTGCTTGATTGCTGGAGAAAACAGAAAGGAGCCGAAAGGTAATTATCAAAAACACCTCCAACATATACCCGGCAATCAAATAGGATTTAATATGTTGAATACCCCTTTTCTCTATAAAAACTCATCAGATTTCGATACAGTTTTTTTTTCTCGTTTAAATACAAAATTTCAAACTCCCAATGAGCATACTTTTCTAAGATTGAAGGTAAAAGTTTATCATTGCGGTATACGATGTATATAAAACTATATACATCATATACCGCAATATATAAAATGCAATTTAATTTCAAGATGTCTTTGTTAAATAATGCTGATAATCATATATCTTTTCAGGTATTTGAAATGCATCTCGCCGGATTTGAATTGTGGGTACTGAATCCAGCATTCGCAGTGCATAAAGGAGTACAGAATAAACGGGGAAGAGGTGCCTGGAGAGAAAGACAGAATATTATAAATCGAAAGCAATTTGTTCGTTTCAAACACGAAATGTCCATCAAATACCGGCCACAATCTAAACTTATAACATGAGTTCTCTGCCAAAACATTATGTGTGATAAGATGTAATAATTTTTATACGAAAGGAACTACTGAGTCGCGGATTAAAAATCATGGTAATTTTTATGTGAATAAAAAGAAGCATTTAAGACTTTTATCTAATAAAACTTTTCTTTTATTTGTTTGTCTGAATGAGTTGTTTAAAGCAAAATGGTGCTCCAATTGACACCTTATTAACAGTGTGCGTAGCCAAATCTTTCAACAAAAAATAAGCACATTTTAAGTTCTTTTTAAGCACTCAAGATATTTTTAAGCACTATATACATTAACAAAATGCAAAATAATTTTCAAAGAATTTACACGATCATGATAAAATAACTAGTTTCTCAAAAAGAAGGCTTTTCTTGATTATATTAGCCACCATAAAAAGATCGAGAGATTTTTCGGTTCGATTTCAGAGGGAAGAAAATGAATCCTAAAATGGAGAATATTTTGCAAAATGCAGAAGAGTTGCACATGAGAGTGCAAGAATCTCACCGAACCTAGCTCAGTATACGCACATGCTGACCCGCAAGTATTTCTTCAAACATATAAAATGATTGGCGCTTTCATACGCTATGGACTGACGGTACGTCGAAATGCATTGTATTTGAATGAATTGAGAAAAAGTTGAAAAGAACAGTGTGAAAACCACGGTTTTGCCAATTGGAAATACTTGGCGAAAATCGACATGGTAAAGAAAAAAACTCATTTTCGAAAAGGGAAAATTAAGCACTTTTTAAAAACACCCAATTAAAAAGCACCTTCAAGGGGTTTTAAGAAACGAAATCGAAAATAAGCACCTTTAAGCACTTTTTAAAAACGCCACGCACCATGTATTAAGGTTAAAGCAATTTCGCTCAGAATTAGGGGTCAAAGTTGAAATTTATATATTTTTACAAGTTTAATAATACGTATATGACTGTGATCACGTTTATATTTTTTTTACTAAACTTGTCATTTCAATCAATTACCTAATTTTCTCGTCTTATATTGCAAGCTAATTTGATCAGAAGGTATGAAAAATGAGAAGAAAAAAATGCACAGTGCACATAATAAAAAAAGTTTCTCCCTGAATAACTTTTGATCTAAAGATCTTCATTTTCTAACACACAATCCTTATAGTTTGAGTGAGTGATCTCAAATATGCAAATTAATAGAGCAGACGATATTTTAAGTTACGAAATCAGACGCAAAAACGTACTTTCTCTTAATAAATATAACATTGTTTTTCGAGCAATTCAGATTTCCGACCCCCAAAATATAGAGGGTAGCCGAAATCTGGAAAATATAGTCCCAAATGAAATCCGCTTATACTAAAATAATTTCAAATGAGATATAACTTTTATTAAGTATTTAATATTTTTTATTATTTATTTCAGTCGAAAAAATTTTGAATTGTAATATATATAATTTTTTTCACCGTATTAAAGAACGTTACTTAAGATAGCACAATATTATATTTGGGAAAAATTGGCAAAAGATCCTAATAAATCTAATTTTAATTATACTACTTTTTAAAAATTCGATTTCTCAGGAACTATTCGACAGATTACGCTCAAATTTTTCATTTTACCACTTAAAATCACATTCCTTAAAAAAAATGTGAAAAATTGTATACCTTAAAATTGAAAATTTTTTCGACTATAATTAATATTTAAATAAAATAATACAAAATTAAAAAATACTTACTAAAAGTTTTTTTGTGCATAGAATTATATTTAAACGAATTTTAAAAATTGCGTGCAAAAAAATTTTAATTCGTTTAAGAGGTCCCGAGATATGGTAAAATACGCAAAGATCCCAGATTGCGGCTATCCCCAATATTTTAGGGGTCAGAAATCTGAATCCGTTAAAAAAATAGTATGTTAATTCAGAGAAAGTACGCTTTTGTGTTTAATTTCGTAATTTAAAAATATCGTCTGCTCTAATTAATTAGCATATTTGTGATCATGCTCCTGAGCAATTAAGTATGATTCCCAGAAAATGAAGATCCGATCATTAGATCAAAAGTTATTCAAGGTGGTCCTTTTTTTATTTTGAGCACAGTACTAGAATAATTATATTTATCGAGAAAACGTTTATTAGATAATTAATTTAGAGCGACGTCATTTTTTTCAGTTAAATATTTTGTACACTTGTTAAATAATGAGATGTTTTTAATTCAATTACAAACATGAGCAGTTTTAAATTCCATTAATTTTATTTTTTGATTTATGAAAAAAAAAAGTACAGCTATCTGAAATCTCGTATAGCATAAATCTATAAATTTGTAATAAGAAAAAAAGAAGCTAAAAGGAAAAGAAATCCATTTTGATGAAAAGGAACATTTTTATCTTTTCTTTTTCATTAAAAAAAGAATTTTTGTAGTTCGAACTAATAAAAAATTCAGCACCATACTTCTTCTTATCGAACGAAAAAAAAAGTGGATAATGAGTTTTCACGCGCCATTCTAAAACTTGTTAAAAATAGAATAAAACAGTAATAATTTTTTGTGCAATGAAAAACACAAGGATTTTTTTGTCGTATTTAATTCATTTTTGACAATTTTAATTTGGCTATTAAACTTATTCCGTAACATATTTTCTCAATTTGCAGTTTAGCATATTTCCAAACCAATGTATTTTAGAAATATAACTACGAAGTCGTACATAAATATTGATTACTAGCCACCTAAGGCGGCCAGCTGTCCGCCACTCTGAAGGTTTTCACAAATAAAGTTTTTTAAAACATAGCAGGAAATCTGAAGATTAGTGGACAATTAAAGTGTTCCTGTCCAGCAATTTTGTCTTCATATCCAGTTCTGCTGCAGATGTGTTATAGCTCTTGAGGATGTTTGAAATTATATAGCTACAACGCTTAAGAAAAAAAAACTAAAATGCTAAATACATGAAAAGAACACGAAAACGAATAAATTTTTTATGGTATCAATTTCTATTTCTATATAATTTTTTATAGTATCAAATTCTATTTCTATATCTGTTACGTCAAGCACTCAGGTATTATAATTTGATCTAGTTGTGCTTGTATAATTTTGATCTAGTTGCGCTTTCTACGTCATTTTGTTAACATCGTTTGGTTTGTTATTTAACATCG